CAAACAGACAAAATCACTACTCCAGAACAACAAACCTGACATTTATTTCATTAAGTATTAAGTTTGTAACTTTCAATGCATAAATGAGGCTCTGCTTCTCTATTCTAATCCTATCTCTAATCCGATCACATAATTGAACAAATTTCAAGAGAGACAAAATGGTTTATGTTTCATTGTCATCACTTTTCCTCCATTAAACTAACGTGTTATTCAAATATTCTACCAAGATATTGCTCAACACAAATGAACTGAAAGATTTTCTCAGCCTCATTTATAGGATGCATTGCTTATTATCTTCAATAAAAGAACAGTTAGTACTAGAACCTTTTATCAAGCTATTATTCATTCAAAGTCTGTATGAAGTTTTAAAGCTTTTCCCAAAGATGAAATTTTAAGTAAAAGCTAGAAAAGCATACTGATTAGTGTGGTAAATAGCATACCTTCCCTAATGTTTAAAAAACAAAATAATTCTGAAGATTATTTTTAAGCCACTGAATATCTTCTCGCTCAGCAGACAGCAAAATTCCTCATGACTAAATCCTATGAACCAGACTTTTCTCCCCCTCGTCCTGTTCCTCTCTGGTGTGGAGCATAATTCTATAAAGCTTTAGCTCACTCGCTTTAGCTATTAACACACTGTCTCCCCAAAACAAACTCTTAAACTCAGAACAGGTTTTACTCTGGTATTCCAAAACAAGTGTAATGAACGTTTCTCAAGATGTTTGACAGTTGTAGCAATGTAAAACTCAGGATACCAACTACAAGAATCTTCCTATTTCTCGTAAGTGGCTGTTTCCAGACATCATCATACATAAAATTATTTATTTTGCAAAGGAAGAAATCCACATATAACTCAAAATCAAATAATTTTAAGTCTCTACTCTTCGTAAGAACTATGGGCAAACCAATCACATGAACAGTGAAAAGCAGGAAAGAGCTGAGAGGTGGCAAGAAATAATGGTAAAGGAGAAGTACTCTATTCACTAACTAGTCATTTTTGTTTGTTTTGTTTTGAATTTTTGAATTTTATTTACTTTTTTATACAGTAGGTTCTTATTAGTCATCAATTTTTATACACATCAGTGTATACAACTAACCAGTTATTTAACTTCTCTGCCTATCAAGTTCCTAGTTAATAAACAAGAATACTCCTCACTTCTCAGGGTTCTTACAAGGATCAAGTGAGCTCCTGCATGAAAATGATCTGCCCAGTAAAAGAACATAACAGGCACTCAATAAACGCCAGCTCCTTCCTCCTTCAGTTCTGGGCCCTCTGTTCTTTGTCCTCTATACTCATTCCCCCAGATGACTCAGCCTTCTCATGACTTTTATTAACAAATGCTGAAAACTACCACATCAGTCAAAGCCCTGATGTGTAAATGCATGCCTACCGTGTGAGAAGCCGTCTGGCCTCTACCTCCAAGATACTCAGGTGATAAAGAGGAGAGACCCCAAACATGTGAATTTCACTGTAATAACCGGCACTCAGGGTAGACAAATCACACATTTCCAACTATCCCCTGGAGATTTGCACTGCCGTCTCAAAATGCCTGAAATCAAACTCATTATCAACTTTTTAAAATCAGGCCCTCTTCCTGCCCCTTTTCTAATTGTGAGTGGTGTCCAACAGACAGTACACTTGCCCTACTCTTCTCTCATCAAAATATCACCAGACAACCCAAGCCCATCAAGTCTACCTTCATAATCTCTTTATGAGATTTTGAAGCCTCATTTTCTGTCCCACTGTCACCACAAGAGTCCACATCACGTTTTCTGAATCTCGGCACTGCTGACGTTTTGGGGCAGGTGATTGTTTGCTGTAGGGGCTGTTCTGTGCATTGCAGGCTGTTTTAGCAGCGCTCCTGCCTCTACCTACTAGAGGCCAGTAGAACTGCTCCCTCTCCCTGAGTTACAACAAGCAAAACCGTCTCCAAATGCCTCCTGGGGGGCAGAATCACGCTCCCCGCAGTGTCCCCCACTCCCACATTTGAGTCCCATAGTCCAGTATGTGCGAGACAATCAGTCCCCAAATTTGTCTCCAGTTTCTTTCCTCTACTTCCAGACGCTCTGATCTTCTAAATGCCTCCTAAAGCACTGCTTTTACGAGTCAGTTCTCTTAAATCTACAGTTCCCTGCCACCTTCACAATTAGTTCAAAGCTCTCCACCCAGCCTTGATAATCTGGTCTCAATGAAACATTATCCCACAAAGCACCTCACATTGTGGCTACCCAGCAGCCCTTCAATAACACAGACCTGTTCATCCAGCCCCTCCTTTCTGTTCTACTGCTGTCACCCTGGTTTGGGTGCCCAGTACCTAGCATCCATTCCGGATCACTGTTCGAGCCTCCTTCCCCACCCTCTACTCTCTCCTTCACTCAAAGTCAAAAACTATCATTGGGGCTTCCCTGGTGGTGCAGTGGTTGGAAGTCCGCCTGCCGATGCAGGGGACACGGGTTCACGGGTTCGTGCCCCGGTCCGGGAAGATCCCACATGCCGCAGAGCGGCTGGTCCCGAGAGGCCACAACAGTGAGAGGCCCGCGTACCGCAAAAAAAAAGAAAACAAAAACAAAACAAACAAAGAAAACTATCATTGAGTCTCCATTGCCTACTGAAATATGAAATCTGTCTGTTCTTTAGAATCTTTCCTACCGTGGTCTCTTTCTGACTCTACGTTCCAGTATCCCCAAAACATACTCTAGCTTCAGTAAAACCTATCTGTCTGCTAGTCCTTGCAAAGGCTCCTTCCCACACTTTCCATCTTTGGTCGTGTTTTTTCTCAGCCTGGAAGTCCTCTTCATCCCTCCACACTAATATAAGGTCCACCTGAATTAAGTCAAGAGGCCTTTCCTGCTCATACCCTCCTTTATCCTCTCTTAGGGCATTCACATTGCTTTATGTTACACATGTGTATTCCTGTAGTTTACAAGGCCCTTGAGAACTTCTTACTCCTGTTTTGATGCCCTGCAATGCCTCGCCCAGTGCTAAGTAAAAACTAAACATTACACGTGAGTTGCCCCAAATGTTTCCCGCTTAGGAAGCAAGGGAGGGCTGTGTTTTCAGACAATGCTGAACTTCCATAAGGGAATTGTCCATATTCCTCTTTTGTTCCACATTTTATGTGTTAGGCCAATTTTTAAGTTAACTGCCTGCAAAATACCCAGAAAGCTATAAGAATTCTGCTTCTGCTTCAGGGAGTTCCCAGTTTCCAACGTGTAACTGAATCCTGACTATTTACGCTATTTAAGTTCTCTCTTTATACAAAAAGGCAACAGAAATTTATTTTTGAGTGTTAATAAAATTGAGCACAACATGAAAATAACTTGGATTGGATTAAACATATTTTAAGCAAAGGTTAATTAATGCTAATTTGCATCCTGAATAACATAAAGTCTTCATGCACTCTTTTTTTTTTTTTAACAACATGCACTCTTAAAAATATGAAAGTCAGTTTATTTCAGCTCCCCCCACCCCAGACATAATAAGCCAAATAGAACACAGGAGGTTTCCCCTTAATTTTAGTTTTTTAATGACTTGAAAGTATTTCTACAAAAAGAGCAAAATCATTAATGAGCATGTTCTGACCAGACCTACTCCTATAAGTGTAACTCCAAAGCCATATGGGGAGCGTAGAGTACCCGCACAGCCGCGTACCCCGTTTTGTATGCCCTTGAGCTAAGAATGATTTTTACATTTTTAAAGGGCTGTAAGAATGAAAACAAAGAATATACATAAAGAGACTGTATGTGGCCAGCAGAGCGTAAAATACTTACTTTGTTTTCAGCAGAATGAATATGAGACTCCTAGCTGTTGGTACGTAAGACACCGAACTTTTCCTCCCAAAATTTTTAAAAAGCAACGTAAAACAAACAAGATTATGCGAAAAGAGAGAACTCATTCAATTTAGTCATAGCTAGTGCACAGGTAACTTCTAGAACAGAGGCCTTGGGGACATTTTTATATTTCCCAGAATTTTTGTTAGAAGCACACTTACGCTTGAAAAGTTGAGAGCGCTTGGCCCAAAGCCACACTGGGGGTTAACAGAGTGCGGTCAAGGACCCAGGTGTGAAAAGTCCTCATTCAGGGCTCTCTGCAGTGCACTACATCATACCTATGCACGTGGCTCTAAGTTCTGGAGATCTGGATAACTGGCTTGGATCACCATAAAGATGAAGCTTAAAACCTGTTCCTGATATGTTGTTTAGACAGACTCTCACTAGCAGCTTTGCATCATTAAACACAGAGTAACATCAACGCTCACCACATATATTAGAGAGAACTTCCAGGAAGCCTTCTATTTTAAAAGCAGACGTGATGAAGAAAGCTTAAAACTTACTCTGCTTGCTCCTCTAGGGCTACAGATTGAGGCAAATATGCACCTTTGACTTCCAGTTGCTCAATACTTACCTCCCAACCCAATCCACAAATTCCACCAAGGGCTATCGAATGCCAATCGAAAAACTATCCAGTTTACATCAGCCACGCATCCTATAAAGTTCTTTTCATAGCTACTTGCAAACTACTAGCTAAAAGTTCTAATTTTTTAATCTCCCTAAGAATTGAGCTTCCTTAAAATATATAAAAGTAGGTACCAGGATCTAGGATTCAAAGACATGGTTAACAATCCAAGATCTTTCATCTGAAGTTGCTCTTCCAGTGTTGAAAAACACATTCTGAGGGGCAGCCGAGAGATACACGACTTACGCTCTCCAGAGATAATACACAGACACCCCCCAACCCCACCCCCATCGTATCTTTGAATGACTTTTGTCCTCGAAGAGCGACCCCCTTCCCCTCGCGAGTCCGGGCCTTCCGGGCACCTGCGGCCCCGGTCCGCAGCGGAGAAACCCAGGGAAACCTGCCCACCGCCGGCCCTTCTGGAAACGGCGCCCACTCCCACCTCGAGGAGGCTGGCGGCTGGAGGCCCGAGCCGCCGGAAAGCGACACCTCGGCGGCCGGCCGACCCCCTGGACGCGGCGGACGGGGACGGCGGCGGCGTTACCTGGTGGACCACGTCGTTGGGCAGCTGTGCGGCCCGGAACAGCTCCAGCACCCGCCCGTGGGCCGCCACCTTCTTGGTGCTCTCGCTGTCGCAGTAGGAGAAGAGATCCGAGTAGTATTTCTGCTCCGCATCGCTCAGCGTTAAACCTTCCATCTTCGCCTCCGCTCACAGCCACCCCGCCCCGCATGCAACACCCGGGGCCCGGCCCCGCGACGCCGGAACGGCGGGGACTGCGCGCCGCCCGGCCGCCTCCTCCTTGCCCCCCGAAGCGGCGGGGAGCCCCGGCCTCGCGCGCGCGCCGGGGGCGTCCGAGCCACAGGGCCCGGAGGTCGCGGGGAGGGGGCCCGGCTGGGCTCGGCGCGCCGCCGCCTAAGAGGCTCCGCCTCGGCGGCCGCGGGGAGGGCGCGGGGAAGGAGGCGGGGGCCGCGGCGGCGCGAGGCCCGGGCGGACTCCGCCACCGCCCCCGCCGCGGGTTCGAGTCTCCCCGGCTCCCCGCCGCTTCCCCCCAGACTTCCCGCCTCGCCTGCCCCTTCCGTCCACGCCCCCGGAGAGGCAGCACTTCCCGGAAAAGTTGTGGGGCTCCTAAAGTTTCGGGGGCTCTAGGCTGAGCGCGGCCGCCGCTCCGCCTCCCTCCGCCGCCATTTACTGCGCCCCGGCCCGGCCCCCGACGCGACCGCACCAACACTGACAGCGGCTGCCGCGCTCCAGACCCGGATGTGAGGCCAGGAGGAGAGAGCGCGAGAGGGAGAGAGAAACACCCACCGGGCTGGCTCGGCCGCTCCCTGGAGAGGGGGCTGCAGCGCCCCCTGGTGGCCGGGGTCCCGCGGCGGAGGGCCGAGCCGCCCTTGGCGCCCTGCAGGAAGAGCTGGGACCCCCGGGAGCGGAGACCAGGGGGGAACAGCACGCCGCCCATTCAGACCAGGAGAACTTAGAAACCGGCTGTAGTTTGGATTGTTTCAAAGCTTCTGGCACTAAACGGTTAATAAACATTACGTGAAAGGGGAACATTGTTCAGGTTATTACTGTATGCGTCGCGTTTTGAGGTCAGATGTTACTGAGGATTAATTCAATATTTCTTTGTGCTCTGAAGGGCTAGGAACATCCAACCCATCTGAGAACTCTCATCAGACACCAACCACTGAGACCTAACTCCCACTCTTGCTCCAAGCCGTGTTTACCTGAGAAACAAAGTTGTTGAATAGGGGGAAGAGCTGGCAAAGTTTTTCTCTTTGTACAAGGTGGTTCTGATCAATAGGAACTTAGTGCTATAAATATATAGCATCAGCTCTATAAAGCTGTTTAGGCTGTGGACAGACCACAGGGGCTCACTCCTGGGACCCCCAATTTCCTCCTTTATGAAAATCATGAGGTTGCACTATTCTGCGCCTATCTGAGAAGTGATTCGCAAGATATCTCAAATAGAATATCTTAACAACAGTTTATCCTTAGCAAATAGGAAATATTTCAAAAACAGCTAGGGCAGAATTAGACAGATTTTTCAGTTTTGGTTTTTATTTTGTCTGCTACAGGTTACTCCCCAGAGTGCTGATCTTACAAATGACCCATAAAAGGAAAGTAATATTATAGGTTCAAAATCTTGTATCTGGAATTCCAAAATTCAAAGAGCACTGAAAATCCAAAGGGTTCTTTGTAACACTTTGTCAGCAAAACCTGCCCTGTTTCATTTGGAGGCAAAATCTCAACTCAACTCACATGAGACTATTTATAGTCTTTATGTATGCTGTTTAATGTCAATATTTATTCATTTTACTCCAGGCTTCAATGGGATATTAATATGCACACAGTTATAGGCACAGCATTACTTTTCTTTTTTTAAAAAGGAAGAGGGTTTGTGGAGCTGTATTTGAATAGTAGCACTTTGTACACTTACATATATAACATGCCATTAATCTCAAGTTTCTCTATCTCTAAAACTTTAAATTTGCCATAGCAGTACCTCACATGTCCCTACAGGACACCTACCAGAGACCCACAGATGGCCTGTTTTCCAAAGGTGTAATAGGGAGGAGCACATGAGGTAGGCACTGGCTTACAATCGTCTTCAGCATGTTTTTCTCCACCACCTTTCCTAGGCCTTGAAGCTCTTTCCTGCCCCAGGGCCTTTGCTCCTGCCACCTGAAATACTCTTCCCACAAACCTTTGCATGGCTTGTTCTCCCACACCTCAGGTCCCTGTACACATATCACGTACTGAGAGAGGGACCTTCTCTCAACACCTGACCTAAAATAGCCCCACTACCACGCTCTATCCCCTTATCTGAATTATTTTTCTTTATAACACTTTTCACTACCTGGCATTAGCATGTATATTTGTTTACATTTTTAACACTGAGATACAATTGACATACAATCTTTTATGGGGGGTGGGGGAGTCCTGAACGTCAGTGCTTATAAGGAGCACTGTATCTGCTTAAAGTCCCTCCAAACATACACACACTTGAAAAACCAGAAAGTCTTGTACGAAGGGGGGACATTCTCCACCCCCCAGCCAGGTACTGGGTTGCCTTGGTGCTGGAGGGCTTGACAGTTTCACAAATTAAAGGGATTTTTCTTTATATCCGTTACTTAAATTTATACTTTCACGTACAAAGGGGAAAAAATGATTTAACAGGCCCTTTGAGACCAATTCTAATTTCTTTCCTATATGTTTCTAGATATATCAGTTTTAAAAAGTGACATTATGAGAAAGCTATTTTAAAACAGCTGGGCTATATTATATAGCTACAAATTTAAAGATAGTGGTCTTCAGGTAAGATCAAATAGTCGGTTACTGCTAGCAAATATCAACTGTTTTAAACTGGAAACCTCTAATGAAGTTTTTAAAATAAATTAAATGCAGTAAAATTCGTCGTTTCTGGTATACAGTTCTGTGAGTTTTGACAAATGCATAACGGTCATGTAACCACCACCAAAATCATGATGCAGAAACATTCTGTGACTCTCCCCTAAAATTCCTCTGGGCTTCCCCTTTGTACTACTCTGCCCTCTACCCTTAGCCCCTGGCAACCGCCGATTTATTTTCTGTTTCTGTACTTTTGCCTTTTCCAGGATGTCATGTAAATGGAATTACACGATAATCAGCATTTTGAATCTGAATTTTTTTCACACAGCATAATGCATTCGAGATTCCTCCATGATCTTCCTTGTATAGCAGTTCATTTTTTTATTGTTAAATGGTATTCTATTGTATGGATGATTATAGTTTGTTCATCCATTCACTAGTTGAAGGATATTTGGGTTGCTTCTAAATTTTGAGTGACTATTAATAAAGATACTATAAATATGTGTGTACAGGTTTTTCTGCAAACTTAAGCGTTCATTTTGTTTCCCTTGGGTAAATATCTAGGAGAGGGATTGTTGGGTCATATGGTAACTAAATGTTCAACTTTAAAAGAAACTACAAAAAAAAAAAAAACCTACCAAACTGATTTCCAAAATGGCTGTACCATTTTGCATCCCCACCACCAATGTATAGAATTTTAGTTTCTCTACATCCTCACAAACCATTCTAATGGGTGTGCAGTGGTATCTCACTGTGATTTGAATTTCCATTCCCCCAGAGACTGATGATGTTGAGCACCTTTTCATGTGCATATTTGCCATCCGAATATCTTCTTTGGTAAAATATCTATTCAAAACTTTTCCTATTTTTTATTGGATTATTTGCTTTTTTTATCGTTGAGTTTTGAAAATCCTTTATACATTTTTGGTACAAGCTCTTTGTCAGATACATGATTTGCAAGTATTTTCTAGAGTCTGTGGCTTGCCTTTTTATTCACTTTTGCTGAACATAATTGTTAAAATTTGGTTTAAGTCCAACTCAGGGGTGGCCCTGAAAGATGTTAGTGAGGGGAAAGCCATTGGAGAGAGTTTCTGTTGGTGCACCTGGTCATTCACTTAATGTCAGAGAGGTGGCCCAAGGTAAGAATACACAGTAAACCCACGGACAGTGACAAATGCTTGGGCTGGTAGGGCAGGGACTTGGTAGGAAGCAGTTTGGAAAATTAAGGAAGAGAAAGTCTGGGAGGAAATCATGTGGTTGAACCTATGGGAAGGGGCATGAAGTGTGACTATCTTTGCATCACGTGTTCACACCCACCAGAAAGCATCCACTATGGAGGAGGCATAAGTAGACAAAACAACCTGGCCAGATGATGTCAGGCAGCCTCTGCAAGCAGCCACCCCAGTGTTGGCACATTGGCTCGGGAACTGAGTAGCTATTGTGGCAGCAATGGAAAGTATATATGAGCCCCACATCACAGCTTCCACTTACCAAGGCCAAATGTCCAACCTGCCAGCAACACTTGAGTTCAGCTCAGCTCACCTGGGTGTCAGCTCAACACCAAGTTCAATTCCTGATGTAACATCATCCCTCGAGGAGACCAGTCATGCGTTTGGTGACAAGTTGATTTATCTTTATAGGAATCAAATGTATCCTGGGCATAAGTTTGCTTTCCTGTTCACAGGGCTTTAGCCATCTAAGTGTTTAAGACTGTTTTTATCTCCAACTTGTAATCTGCATAACATGACTTCAGACAAAGAGGCCCTCCTTGCAGCAATAGAAGTGCATTAGTGGACACATAACCATAACCCACTAAACTCACATTCCGCATCATCCAGAAGCTGCTGACTTCAGAGAGTGTAGAATGGCCTTTCAAAGGTGCACATTCACAGATGATATTCTGTGAAGATGGGACTCCATACTCCAGGATGCAGAAGCACCCTAAATTAACGATCCTGTATGTTACTCTGTCTCCAATAGGTAGACAATATGGGACAGAGAACCAAAGGATGGAAGTAAAACTGGCCCCATTTACCTTTGCCCTCCGTGACCCACTTGGGGGAGTTTCCCATCCCCTCAAACCTAGGTTGTTTTTATTTTTTGATTTTATTTATTCTTTTACAGCAGGTTCTTATTAGTTATCTATTATATACATATTAGTGTATACATGTCAATCGCAATTGCCCAATTCATCACACCACCACCACCACCCCCTGCTGCTTTCCCCCCTTGGTGTCCGTACGTCTGTTCTCTACATCTGTGTCTCTATTTCTGCCCTGCAAACCAGTCCTTCTGTACCATTCTTCTAGGTTCCATGTATATGTGTTAATATATGATATTTGTTTTTCTCTTTCTGACTTACTTCACTCTGTATGACAGTCTCTAGGTCCATCGACGTCTCTACAAATGACCCAGTTTTGTTCCTTTTTATGGTTGAGTAATATTCCATCGTATATATGTACCACATCTTCTTTATCCATTCGTCTGTCGATGGGCATTTAGGTTGCTTCCATGACCTGGCTATTGTAAATAGTGCTGTAATGAACATCGGGGTGCGTGTGTCTTTTTAAATTATGGTTTTCAACCCTAGGTTTTGAGCATCTGAATGTCCTGTTTCTCACATGGGATTGCCTCCTCTAGGAGGCTTATTATTAGTTAGTTATTATTAGTCCCATTAAACTTTATGCCACGAATGATGTTCTGTCACTTGGGGCTCCTTGTGCCAATAGATCAGTAGGGAATAAAAGAACATACTGGAGGGTATTGAACCTACTCATCAGGAGGTAATAGTACTTACTTTACACAATTGAGGCAAGAAGGAATATGTTTCACACCCAGAAGATCCACTGGGGTGTATTGGTCTCCCCTGTTTAGTT